TAACACCAAAATCCACTAAGCAATGGTTCACCTAGTGTAACCTGCTCTGTGTAGCCTATAAATTTGTGTTTAAATCATTCTTGCACATTCCAGACATCCTGCAATAGTTGCTACACCACAAAAAGAAACAAGAAATTATCAAAAGAAAGTGCCAAGCCTGGGAGACTATACACATTAATAGCTACAGATTATTTAAAGTTCCTAGATATTCAGAATGCCTATACCAGAGCAGGAAAACACGAGACAAGTAATGTCACAAGAGCAGACTCGCCGAGGATATTCTGCAAGGTGAACATCTGTACATGGGACAACAAGGTGCAGATCACTATTCCAGGCAGTGCTAACGAGTTAATTTTGTGTAGCCAATATAACTGACCTAGAGATATTTCCCCACTTTCTGTTCCACTGATATGAATAGGTCATACAGTACTTAGTAGTATGTACACAATTTGGAATAGCTAACCATCTCCATCTCTCTCCTGTGGTTGCAGATCACTTCGTGAATGACCGGGTAGAAATCCAACTATGGAATTTACTTAAGAAAATAAGAACAAAGGTAACTGCAGAAGGCCTATTGGCCCATACGAGGCAGCTCCTATCTATAACCACCCAATCCCACTCATACACTTGTCCAACCCGCGCTTGAAACAATCTAGGGACCCCACCTCCACCACGTTACGCGGTAATTGGTTCCACAAATCAACAACCCTGTTACCGAACCAGTATTTACTTCTAGGAGATGAAACAGGCATGAATGGCTTACTTAACAGCAACACCAGTGAGAGCATTAGAGGACACACCAATATGGCTGTGAACTCACCAGAACTTGACTCGTGTCTGCTAAGTACGAACACAGATGGCCTAGTGGCCCATGCAGAGCAGCTCCTCTGTATGTCCAACCAAAAGCTTGTTTATATATTTATTTAACATATGCGAGAAACAATCCAGTGCACAGATTGTGCACTGGACAGGGTGTTTAAATTAAATAAGACTATTAAATTGATTGGTAAAGTGTTCCATAAATCCACAGAAACTACCAAATCAGTATTTACCAAGGTCTCTTCTGAATCCTAATTAATTCTGAAAATATCCATGGTTTTGTGCTCTACTTCATGTTAATATTATTACCACTTAATATCCCCATTATTATATCCTGAACTTCATATGAATGCTTCAGTGATCCTCCTCCACCCAAACTCTGCCTTTATAGAGAATCTAAGTTGAGCTGCCTTAATCCCCAGGCATCTTCATACCAGAGGCATCTAATTCCTGGGATTAATTCTCATTATCTGTACACATTCCAGTTAATTTATACTGTATATCCATCCTACAGTTATGGATACTGTCTATATCCTATAGACAGTACTGCATATTTCAGTTTTTCCTAACTTCGTCCTTTACTCACATTGTTAACCATTTTGGATCATTACCAAGACCTTAATTAATGTACTGTACGTATATGGAACACTACATTTCTGGGCTTTGATTAAAGTTCTTAAAAAAATTTACCAATTCTTAAGATCTTTTGTCTCGGTAATAAAGTCACCCATAAACATTATTAGACCAAATAGTTCTGCCCAGATACTTCCAGCAATTGTACCAAGCATTGGTGGGTTGTAAGTAACTACTGCTATTAGACTAGCATTATTTGAACTTAAATTCATTCAATAAGATTGTTGGCCTCAATTTTCATTGTCTGACATTACAATTACAGTGTACCTAGTACAGTGTACCACTGTAGGTACTAGGTAGCACAGTACCTAGTACCACTGTACCTGTACAGTGACTGTACAGTGTACAGTCTCAAGATATACCTACAGTGTGTCCTGTCTTCACGTTGCAACACCTTGCTAATCCACTAATCTTTCTATCAAGTAAAAAATGTGAATTCTTTTGCCTTTAATTTTTTGCTAATAGTGTAAAAATATTTTCAACATTCATCTGCATTTATTATCTAAATATTGGTCATTTAATATTTCTACGCCAATACTTCTGCTATTTGTAGAACATGCCAATCCTCGGGTTTCTCTCCTGCCTGCACAAGACTGTTGAAGAACACGTGCCCAGTACCTAGTTGATACCTGGCTGATGGGGTTCTGGGAGTTCTTCTACTCCCCAAGCCCGGCCCGAGGCCAGGCTTGACTTGTGAGAGTTTGGGCCACCAGGCTGTTGCTTGGAGCGGCCCGCAGGCCCACATACCTTGAGTCAGTAGGTTCAAGATTCTGTACAACAATTGATTGACAGATGAGAGGCGGGGCCAAAGAGCCAAAGCTCAACCCCTGCAAGCACAACTAGGCGAGTACGTTTTCACAACAACCCCCCCCATTAATGTTAACGCTACCAGCTGGAACAAAAATATAAGAATCCAGTTGGATAATCTAACGAGGCTGCTCACCAGTTCTCATCAATCAGCCTTGCTCACCCAGCTCCACTCTCAAACCTGCTTCTCCAGCTCCTCACATGGGAGGAGGGCAAAACGGGCATGCGGGAGGGGAAGGGGGGGGGAGAGGCGGGGGGGGGGAGGCGGGAGGGGGAAGGGGGG